TTTAGTTTTGATGCAAAAACGCATGATCGCACCGGCTCGCCTGGTGCGTTCCAGCCTTTGTTGAATAATCAGTTTGAGCCCCGATAACAATCAGCATAGAACAGGGGTTCAGAGTTCCAGTTTGTCACCTTCAAAGATTTCGATGGTTCGAATTTCCGGTGTTTCGTGTTCGACCTGGATGGTCCAGCTTGTTGAGGTGCCAAATCCAAAAGTCAATACCTGCGCAGACAGTGACCGTTGGAACTTCTGAAACTAATCTTTAGGAAAGGAAAACGAGTATTACGATTTAGGATATTGTGTGGTTTGGAAAGCTATAACTGATAGCAAAGAAATTTGGTTTCCCCAAATTCTCTTCCTTGGCCTACCAGGATCAAAGAGAACTGTGGTACCTCTTCAATACCAACACCTTTGTTCACTTGCTATGATCTCCGTGCCAAAACTGATGTTGTTGATATCTTAAACTTACTTTTTTTGACTCCATTCTTCTGCTCTTGGCACTTATGGTACTTGCGTTTCAAATTAAGCACCAATTTTAGAATTTCGTGAAAAGCCAGCAAGAGGATCCTGGCTGCCCCCAAACTCAGCTATGGGCTATTTGATGCAGTGTAGTAGTTCTAGTGATTTTCTACTTAGATTTTGAGAAAAAAGATTTTGCCCATTTATGGCTTAATCCTCACTTCTTAGAATAGTTCCTCAATAGTTTTTCTAACCCTCTATGTCAATTATGCATAATTTGCGTCGCTCTGCTCAATTTTTTGCATCTTTTTCCCACATAACCGCCATCGTCACTGAGACAAAAGACAGATTATCTCACTTCCTCATTTTATGAGTCGAAAAGAAACAAGCCTTCATTTTTATGCTTTTTTGTACAAGGCAAAAAAGCGACATTCGCCAAAGATCCTTTATTTGCCACAGTGTTTTGCACTTTTTTGTCCATTAGGTACTAATTGATTAAGCAAGTTTAAACTCACAATTAGCTCGAAAGCAGCTGGGTCGTTTTTTTTAGTGTTTTTTATAAATAATGTAAAAAAAGCGAATTTGAGGATCATATTTTTTAAACCATATTGCCCGTTGCTCAAAAAAATTCAGGGACATCTTGAAACGACTAAAACCTTACTAAACCGTTTCAGTTAAGAGTATCGTTAAGCTGATAATCCCTTTAGGAGATGAAACGAGTGTCTGGATTACCAGCAGAGTGACCGCCAGGTGACCAAAGCAATTAGAAAAACTGCAAGTTGCATAGTTGGAAAACGGCAGCTGATCAATTTATCAAAATGAAGTGTTCCTTGAACCGTAGTAAGCTCGCACTGAATAAAACCATTTAATTTTAAAACAAAAGATGATGCTGACCGGGAGTTTCGATAATTTAAATTTGCCAAAGTCACAGTTTAAACGATCTCTGCCTTTACTCTGCGTGAGGTGCAAGAGCACTCGGGAGGAACTCAAACGATCATCAGAAAGCAAAAGACTGCCAGCGCCAATACGAATATTTTTTTAATGTCCAGTGATATCAATGGTTTGACATTGCTTATTGAAAAATAGCATCGCTGTCATGTAGTAGGTCAAGGATTCGACCCCGTACGTAAAAAATCGGTCCCTCTACGAAGTTCGTGCAACGTAAATTAGTACTAGCATATGTCGGGAAGTTCAACATTTCATTAGCTAGCTTTTAAGCAACCTTCGAAAGAAGGAATCATTGACAACCTGCCCAGCGGGTGGTTGTTACTACCGCTCGAATCACTTCCCTAGTGCGTTTGCCTTTCGTGGAGGGCGAATACTAAGATATTTTGTCTTGTATCTTTTAACCGGTTTTAAAAAAAGCAGTTCACGAAAACATAAGGATTCACTAGCGCTCGTAATTTCTACCTTTATTATTTTTGTCCAGCATTTTTGCTATTTCCTGCAAATTCAGGAGTTCCAGAATATTACAGCTTATAACCATTGCCAACATTTGCAGTTTCAGAATGTCGGTAAGCTGATGGCTATATTTTTGATAAATCAAAAAAGTCTCAGCGTTTTTTCGCTGCTTCTTCTGCACTGCGATTCCCGCTCAATTAGATCTAGCGCAACTGTTGGCTGCTACACAGATTCCGGTGAGAAGATAATTGTGAAAAATTCTTCGATAATCCGAACAGGAGCGCCAGAAAGCGCGGAATCACTACTAGGACTGACGAAGTCATCGGTAGAAACTCCAGAAATCGGCAAACCCTCAACAACATTCCCCTCGAGGCGAAGAAACGGAGGGCGATTTCGGACGCTGAAGGAATCATCGGTGGGCACTTCACGATCCGGTGATTCCACGACAATATTTCCCCAGAGACCAAGAAACGGGAAATCACAGTTGTTCCTAAAGGAATCATCGATAGAAACCCCGCGTTACGGTGATTCCTCGACAATATTTCCCTCAAGGCAAACATACGAGGGGTCACTGCTAACCTTAAAAGAATCATCGGCGGGAACTGCACGACCTAGTAGTTTTTCCACAATATTTCCTCCGAAATCAAGAAATGGGGAACCATCGCTGTCACGGAAGGAATCATCGATGGAAACTTTACGAGTTGGTGATTCCTCGATAATATTTCCCTGGAGAGAAAGAAATGGGGAATCATTGCTGACGGTGAAGGAATCATCGGTGGATAGTCCACGTCCCAGTGCTTCCTCAACAATATTTCCCTCGAGGCGGAGAAACGGGGGAACACTGCTGACATTGAAAGAATCGACGCAGCCGACTATATTCTCAAATGGTGAACGAATCCAGCTCAAAGAATCAGAAAGCATTGTCCAGCCTCAACACACAATTGCTGTCAAGGATTCAACCGCATTCCCATATCATCGTGATTCCAGTCGGAGGTAAAATTTTAGTTTTCTACTCATTTTTTCTTGTAAAATATTTAGCAAGGTACGTTGCAGTCGCTATTACGAAAAGTTAAAGCCTTTGGCTGATGCCTGCTTTTACTTGTTTCAAGATAATTCAGTTTAGGTTGTACAGAAGTTTGAATCTTAGTAGTGCTTGAGGAGTGTTTACACTGCATTCGCGTGCCTTTTGAATTTGTGTCACATTTTTTGTGCTGGAGATGTCCAGTTGTGGTACTAGCATAAGACTATTCAATTTAACGGGCGGAAGCGTCCCTATCCTAGCTAATTTTATCAAACATATATGTATATATATTTGATAGTATCAGCTACAGTGTGGGCATTTTTATACGTCTCTGTGTTTCTATATTCCTATAAGTACACAAGATGTATATATTCGTACAAATAGTTTTGATTTTTTTTTCTGTCTATATTTATATTACTGTTACAGCGTGCATGTTCCTTTCGCTTTACTTTTATTCACTTATTTCTGTTAAGACTATGTATTCAAAAATCAGTTGTACAGTCGGGAGCTTTATGACGCATGTGAAAGTGTTCACATAAATCAAGCAGTCTGTGTTCCATTTTTTAGCTGTAAACACTTTCAAATTTTTTCCTCTTCTGGACTTTAAACTTGATTTTGGAATTTTTTAATCAGCGTTTTAAATTGAGCATAAATAAAAAAGTTATGAGCCCGAAATTTTAGCAGCTTAATCATTCATGAAGCCTGAGATAATCAGCTTAAAGCTTGCTAACGAATTAGAATTTTTTTCGCATTCATCAGTTTTGCGTAATCGCAAAACCACACGATCGGACTGACTCAGTAATGCCATATCAGGAATACCAAGACTGTCTGAGTAATCGAACTGAAATCCCTTGTTCCTGGTATTACTAGGATTGCTATGAGATGTCGGATGTAGCTACGCCAAGATCTTCGAGCTGCATGCCTTCATTAGTACCTATTTGCTGTCTGATACTGCTTTGGTCACCAAAGTTTTTTTCAGTCCCTCATCCCTTCCCGACTGCCGACGCAAATCAATCCTCAAAGTCTTCGAGCTATCGCGCATTTCAGAAAGTAGTACAGGAAGACTGCGGGAAATTATGCTCAGTTTACTTATCAGTTCAAGTTAGTCATTTTTTACCGAACATTTTTATAGCCGTTGATTACTAAGTTCTGTTATCATTATCAGTACCGTAACATCCATATCGTTATCATCTGCTGACTTCCTTTCACATCTTTATCATTAACACTGTGATATGGTGCGGTTCACAGCTTCTTTCTCCAACTGCGCAACTGGCAACCTAATCAGTTGCTTTGGCCGTTGCTGCGTTCCATGGTGGTAGTTGGCTTGCCGATGATCCAGACCAGACGTTCACGTCATCGTCTGTTGAAAAAATACCAATTCAATATTTCTTCGGAAAAAAGCATTTAGCAAGGTTTTAACTGTTTTTTCCTTGCCGATGCATATTCGAGTATTGCACTTTGCCCCTTTTTTCCTTCAGTTCCCCAAGTATTGCATTTACAGTTGTGCAGTACTTGGATTCTCTCGAATAAGGAACACCCAATGTTGTTTACTTGGATCATATCTGTCTTTTTATTCGGATCACTGAGGATTACTTGGACGGATGAAGGGACGATACTTGGATTTCCGATTTTTTGTGTTATGCTTTCTTTTTACAGTATTATGGCAGGTGACGGTCTGCGCAACCTAAATAATCATCGAGCTGGGGCAACTGAGCTTCTCCAAGTAGGGACTGTGGTCTATTATCTAGTCTGATTTCTTTCCCTTCCCTCTTCTATAGTTTCGTTTCTGCCTTCTTATCTAGTTAATTTCTTTTTTTTATTTGTTTTATAATATCTTATGCAACAATCGCCGCCCTAGCGAAGTCCAGCTGTGGCGCCGAGTTAGAAAGAATACGACTTAACAGACTAAAATGTCTTAATCTAAGCTAATTCATCATTCACATATACTGCAGATTTCAATCTTTAATGCATCCGAAATACATCAACATCAGCTAATATCTCTCTGTAAACGCAGTTTATAATTCTGATTAAACCCAATAAAATAGCATCTAACATTAAATATTTACTCCATAATTCTGAATATGGCAACAAATAAATTATTAGGTCGAGAACTTCATCGAATACAGATGCTTCATCTTGTCGCTGAAAGTCAAAAAGAAAGTTTTAGGAAGGGGTGAAAGGAAGGTTTTTCCGTAACAAATAAATGTTCATGCCGTCGTCAGCAGTTGCAACAATAGTTCAAAATTTGGTTTGTAACAAAGCTATGCAAGCTGACAATTTATCATTCATGTTCTCCTGACATCGGCGGCGAAAAGCAGGCGTTTCGGTACGCTTTCACTCCGTAAAAAACTCCTCTTTCTCTTTCCCACCTACCTCTCTTCGATTTACCCCTTCTAATCACATGTCAGTTCACGAATCAAACAACGCCGACAAACACGAAAACAATGGAGAAACGAATATTAGGTGACAGCAGGCTACACCGTATAACCAGTTGCAGGTTACGGCAGTGTTTAGTGTAAAAGAAATAATTGTGAAATAATAGACTAAGTGAAAAAAGATCAGTCTATGTATCAAGTACAAGGTGATATTTTGGACATCACTTAGTAGTTGTTTGACAAGAATGAGAGATAACAGATGGACGAAGTGGAAACTGGATGGTTTGAATGCACAGTCTGCCAGAAGAACAGTATAAAGGTTATTGGCATATGGATATACCCATTTACTCGAAAGTATGGAGTAGTGAGGATGCGGTAAATACAAATTCTATTTGATGAATAACTAACTGACTGCATATACCTCAAATAAAGAGGCAGATGTAAAACCGACTTCGGTAGTTAACTTCATTTTTATCGGATTCTGTTCGTCTCTTTTTTATGCCGTCTTCCAACTTTTACATTTGCTGTCTGTGCAGGACAGAAGTATACAGAATTAGCCTCTCATACAGATAGTGATCACTTGCTGGCAAAGCTGTCGATAGCTCTCTCATCAGAAGCAAGCTGATGGCAGCTTTGGTTTCCTGGCATGCA